TTATAAAACAATAATTATAAAACAGCAACAACAATTATAAAACAACAATAGCAATTATAAAACAACAATGACAATTATAAAACAACAACAACAATTATAAAACAACAACAACAATTATAAAATAGTAGTTAAACATAATGGAAACTTAAGTGTTTTAAACACAACAACAGTTGAACACAACATCAATAATATAACAGTACCTGAATTAATTTGAACACCTCTCATTACTTCTTAAAAGATAACATTCTGCATAACATTCTATAATTTAAACAATCCCTAAATTAATCTGAACATAATCCCTAAATTAATTTGAACAACAAGCATAAAAAACTCAAGTTTTTTCAATAAATAAATAAACATTATGCATAACACTCTGTAATACATTATGCATAACATTCATTAACAGTTGTTGAAGGAAGAACATTATGCACAACACTTACTTGAAGGAAGAATGAAGCAGCAGGCGCAACAAAGTACAAAGCAAGCAGACGCAACAAGCGAAGTAAGTATGACCTAGCCGTTGCAAAGAAAAAACGAAGTATGGCCTAGCCGTTGCAAAGAGAAGTGTGTAATGAACAGTCAAATAAGTATGTTTGGGTCATAGTGTATTAGTGTGTTTGGGTCATAGTTCAATCAAGCTCAGCTACTGTAATGTATCCAATTCCAAAATGTAAGTGAGCTAGACTGAAATGTATTGTAATTTGTATGTATCCAATTCCAATTTTAGAAATTTCTTATTGGACCCTATATACCTCTAACACACAATGTGAATTTCCATATATGCCCCCTTGATTCTGCAGATACATCTTCAGTTACATCCTATTTCTAAATAAACATTGACATATTCCGGAGATACATCTCCGAAAACATTTTAAACATTCAAAACATGTCACTCAGACACCATTTACATTTGAATTATTCTGAAGATGCATCTTCGTGAATATTTTGGAGATGCATCTTCAGGATGTATCAAAACATATGTTTTTTACTATAAGTTGTGTATTTGTTTTCAGATAAGGTATGAAGCATGATCTCAAATAAAATAATAGATGTATAAAATAATAAGAGATTAATACTGGGTGTTTCAAAAATAATATAGCAATATAATATAAAAATGTCATACACAATGAGATCCAAAATGTAGTAATAATGTAAGAAATAAAGTACAAACTATGGTACTACAACAAAATAATAACAGACAACTACTAGGTGTGCCTGACTACCTCTCATATACCTTATATGCCTCATTTTCCTGCTCTGCCTCCTCGGCCATCAATCCTCCTGTCATCCGACGATGTCTCCGGTACAACAGTGCCCCAAGTGCATCCGCCACCATGGCATCAGGGAAGATACCTTCATCAATTTCTGTTTGCGCAATCTCCACTATGCAACGACATTGAGGCAAGACATCCTCAGTATGATCTAGCTGAGCTTTCCCCTTCTATAGAATCTCCTGATGAGATGGTCTCGGCGGAGCTCCTGGAGCAGTCTGCACCATGTACGGATGTGAGACCCTGAAGAACCATCTGATGTATCCATCAACGTAGCTCTAGTCATTTGGCGCTATGGTAGTCCGAGCCTCCTCCGATACCAGGTGACTCTCATAATCAACAAACATATCCTCTATTTGTCTATGAGACAAGGCAAGAGGAACAAAGACAAAAGAGTGCCTGGGGTGGTTTAGGTGTACCTGAACTACCACATGAAGCGCTCGGGAAGATGAGGAGCAAGAATACGCGATCCGTAGGCCAGTCATCCGGAGTATAGCGATATGTCATCAAATGGCCGCGTCTGACGGTGATTCATATAGCTAATGAAATGGATGTCCTCAGCAACCAAACGATCAAGATAGACTTTAAAAGGCTCGACCGCCTGGTTCCCTCTCAGCAGGATAAAAGCACGGGCATGCAGCATGTCCTCAGTGTACTCGTTCATACTCACCCAACCAGAGATGCGTGGGAAGTTCTAGAGGATCCAATCCTGAAATGAAAATGAAAAAATTATTCGGGGATCAAGAATTATTGGCAATGGTTTCGCAAATACGAAATGAAAAAGATAAAAAAATATTCAAAGAAAAAATTATTACCACCAATAGTGTCGTGCTGCCTGTGACATGCTTCATCTTTCACATACATCCCTCCCTCAACTTCAAATACAGATAGTCCAAGAAAGTCGCCCTCAGTTGTACTCATAGATTTGAGTGAAATCCAAGAAGTACCAGAGATAGACGACTTTAATGTAGGTGGCACTCGTGTCCATAAAAATACAAGTCCCAACCAAATAAAAAAAGTATGTTCTCAAAGCATGCATCATGTGTACCTCATACTGCTCAGCACCTGTTGTGCTATACTGATCTTGTCCATATACAACTTCCTCAGGAACCCAAATTCAACATGAACACCCCTGTTCTTATCGACCATTTTCACCGCCTTCTCTAGATCTGCCCCTAGATGCTCTACCGTCATCTCAATTGCCTTGTCTCTTATAATCCTCCCATGATTGAGGAACTTCCCCCTGATTGGAAGATGTAACAAACACGAGACATCATCTTGTATGATAGACATCTCACCATACGAAAGATGAAACGAAGATGCCTCAGAGTGCCATCTGTCCATAAATGCATTAAGCATCTCGTGGTTGAACATAGTGTAACTGGTCATGCTAGGTCCTTCAGACCAGATAAATATAGAACACTCTGAAACCAATCCTCCTCCTCCTGAGGCAATGCAACAATCTTCCTCTCAAGGTTCAAAAACTTCTGGGGATCGAACTGTTGGATCCTCGCGCCTGCGGGAGGATGGGGGAAGTGACGCTTCAGATGGTGAATCTCATCTCCTACGGGAAGAAAGAGAAGGTGGAGTGGTCTGAGATCAAGGAGTAGTGGCCTGAGGTGAAGGTGGAGTGGTCATAGATGAAGTGGCCTAAGGTGAATGACGAGCCCCAGGAGTATACTACGCCTCAGAAGTCGACGCCTCTGCTTGAGCAGATGTACCTGCTGCTACCGAAACCTGTTGGATTCGCTTCCGCCAAACGGATGCGTGTAGGGCAACTCGACCATGTCTAAGTCTGTCGACTCTGTCATCCATAATGCCAGTAAGGTAAAGTAAGGTGTATCATTAGTGCAAGCAGACAAAACACACAAACAAGAAAATTTAAAATAAAAAAGGACAACAAGAAATTCTGGAGATGCATCTCCAAAAACACCATAAAACAATAACGTTGACCAATTCTGAAAATGCATCTCCAGAAATACGTTAAAACTTTTTTACTTTGAATACTTCCGGAGATGCATCTTCGAAATATCCCAGAGGATATGAAACGCTGAACAATACTGGAGATGTATCTTTGAAATATTCTACAACTCAGAGGTCGCGACAATGACGTAACGTACCTTTTGCAATGTGGAAAAAATGTCTTGATCGCCATTTTGAGCCAACAAACAAGTCATACACTAAATCTAAACTATGTTACTTGAGATTTCTACACATTTCTACCCCTAATAACTGTTTTCTACACATTTACACTAAAACTCGAATATTTACCAAAAACTTGAAAAATTTATGTGAAATTGATGATTCATGTGTTGTTTCGATATTAGAGATGATGCTTGATGTTCCCTTTAGTTTCTCTGATGTCTTGCTCGAAGAAATTTGGTGCTTGTGACAATAGATGAAATTGAGAGAGTTTGATATTTTGAGTGGAACACACTGTGAAATGAGGAGAGAGAAGAGTCTGACATGAGTTAAGCTTTAAATTGTTCTAGAGATATATTTCCGGAATATTTCAACGTTCACTGAACTTAGGGTGTGTCTGAAGATGTATCTCCGGAATCAAAGGGCATATGTCGAAATCCACATTGTACTCTAGATATATGGTGCATTATGAAATATTCTCAATTTTTATGTGATGTATCCTTTAAGTGGACCTATTGTATTGTATGCGACCTCATACGGGCTGACTCATTTTTTAAAGGTTTTTTTGAGCTGGGTTCCAAAAAGCCCAAAGTAATATGAACTCCAAAAATAAGACACAAACCCTAACTTCTTTCGGGCTCAGTAGACAGGCCCATGAACTTCGGCCCATTTTGATCCAATAACTTAATATCACTTTCATAATGAGATTTTTCTTTTCTTTTTTTGGTAAAATCTTTTATAGTGAGATGAATGAAGTAAATTACAAAAGGCTTTAATGCGGAAAAAACGTAAATGAATAAAAAACAACCCAATTTGGCAAACACGTGATTGAGAATCTGAATTTAACTAATACAACATTTAAGATTGGTTCACGTTGAAGCAGAAAGAAGAATCTCAATTATTATGGAAAGAAAGACAAAAATCTGTATAAAACTTTTTTTGACAAGTAAAAAACATGAACATAATAAACAATACTATTTAATAATATTTTTGTATTTGACTATTTAATATGGGTAAGAAAAATGAACACACAAAAAGTGAATTATAATTTTATTCATTATGATTTATTAATTATTAATATATTATCATTATAATAATTAATACAAAGTAGAGAATAATTTATGTATAATATATTTTATTAGTCTTATATTATACATATTTTGTGTCACTTTATGCAATGTTTTGAAAAGATAAATTAATATAATTAAAAAATGATAAATAATAAATAATAAATGACAAAATATTAAAAGAATTATTTATTGAAATTATAAAATAACTTATAAGTTAAAACAAGTATGACAATTTTTGAAATATACTACTTTTTACAAATGTTATTATTACTTTATTAAAATAATTGATTTAGTTTCTCATTTCGGAAGATTATAAAATACAATTACATCAATTATTTTGAAATAGAGTGTTATAAAATTGGAAGAAATTCAAAAGAATGATAGAGATAGATATCATAATTATTCAATTATTTTGATATTTAGGTATTTATGAGAGCGTCTTATTTTCCACATTTTTATTTATTTCATCTCCATTTCTTCCAAATCGCGTGTTTCACGCTCCGCCGGCGACCTAACCATGTCTGATTCTACAACCACCGCCGTCACACCGTCACCATCTCTTCGCCGCCACAACTCAATAACGGCGGTAACACCCAACAAACTTCACCGTTCAGCAAAGAAGCCACCACTGCGTACAACAAGCTTAGATTTGGAGCTTCTGTTACTCAAATCTCCTTACACTTCATACACATCACTCAGAGACATGCTTCCTTCACCTCACGCCGCCGTTAATTCTCCCACCGGTTCATCCGCCGCCATCAACTCCGGTTACGAGATCTCAATCCGTAATCGTCTCGTTAAGCAAGCTGCCTGGGCTTACCTTCAGCCCATGTCATCTTTTCCAACAAACTCCTCCACTCCTAGTTTCCTCAGCCGCCTTTGCCACCGTCTCTCCTCCAATTCAATAATCTCTTGTTTCAGTTCAATGGTTTCGGGTTTTACCCGAATTTTTCATCAAATACTCCATGGTTTCGGTGGCCAAGTAAGAGCGTGATGGACCCTTATTTTTCTTATTTTAATTTTAATTTTCCTATCATTTTCTCATTTGTGAATATATTTTTAGTTTTTTTTTTCCCTTCATATGTATTTCAATTGTTATTATGGCATCAAAATAATGTTGAAAATGAATAAAAGAACAATGATTTTATCACAAAAGACAAAACAGTCTTCAGCAGCACATGTTATATTATGTTACAAATTATTTACAAGTAGAAAGCATCAAGAATGATGTTTTTTTTGCTGGGATTAATGTGAGTATATGTACAAAAATGTTACATTTTCAACATGAAGTGGGCTTAATGGGCTTCATAATTGGGCTTGATCACTGTATGTCATTGGGGTTAGTTTGGACTTTGGAGATTCTTACTTGTTCTTGCGGCCGAAGAAATCATTTTGTTGGAATTCAAACAAAGCTGATCTTATTTCCGGCAATGGTGGGGCACTAGGAACAGGATGCTGTCCATCTTTTTTCTGCAAATATAATGTTATCCTTAGTAATAGTTCTAGTAGCAAGGATTTAAACATAAAAAATGACAAGCAAGCAATGTTATAAAATTTATGGTCAAATGTATGTAATGTAAATACTATCCTATGCTCGTCCTGTGATTATGACTCAATCAATAGTCACGTTTGAAGCACATAAGGGGAAACACGACACTGACAAACGCTGCCGGTCTCACACTCTGACTTTTTCAGAGGTGTCTGTGTTATAGATGACATCATTAATTTTATTTTTATTGTGTTTTCCTTTTACATTTGCAACATGTATAACTTTAATGGTTCAGAAGTTACTAACTCACCTTCTTGGAGGTTTTGTTTGAAAGCTTCTTGGACTGAGCAGCTAAGTGATCAAAAACTTGAAAAAATGCAGTCTGCCCCAACTCAGTGCAATTTTGCCAGTAAAAAATTGCCAAATCCCATGCCCTAACTCTCCATTCTTGAAACAACTTGTCAAAATCAATTTCATTCTTAGATACATATGGTCTCAACACTTTATTATAAACATATCCTGTCCCCTGCATCAACCAGCATTCAACTTGACTTTCACTTTCATTGGTAAATGAAACAACAGAATAAAGTGTTGGAAAAAAAAGTACTACTAGTATATGTTAAAGTTGTCATGTAGACATTCTCTCAAACATGTTATGTGCTTACCTTAGTTTTGGGATACCACATGTATATAAAAAGTGCAAGCTTCAATTCTCCATACAAAGGCAACCTTCATAAAGAGTACATGTTAATTTCTTACACAAAATTCAACAATAATACAAATGAAATAACTAAAAATTCAATCACTCACCATCCAATAACCACATCAGCAAACTTTTCCAGCACTGTGAAAAAAGCAACAATGATCCTGCAAATTAAGAATTGCACATACCAGACACCATTATCATACAATATAAAAGTGCTCAAAATGAATACAACTAAACATGCTGATGATAAATAAAGGTGTGAACACATGATTAGGTTCAATGTTTGAACCACTTTTTAAGCTATTGACCTCTATTTATCCATTATAAAAAGCAGATCCGTTTCTTGGCACAAACTCAACAACTAGTTTTTAGATTCTTAATCATTAGTAAAGCGCTTTAAACAATCCTTCTCATCATTCCATGATCCATAATTTAAGTGCAAATTTTAGAAACACTAATCATAGAAACAAAAAAAAAAAGTGAATTATTATAATTTATAATCTATATACCAGTATTGACACCAGAATCGAAGTTCATCCATTTCAACCGTGTTTCTCTCTACTGTTTTATAGCATTCAAATCCAGGATATGCATATCCAAGAAGCAATCTGAAAATTCATAATCAAAATCAAAATCATATAAACATAAAATATAAACTAGAAGAAGAAGAAAAAAAAGTAAATACATTACACTTACATGAGACATCGAGTAATGAAATCTCCTAACATTTTCAACCCCTATGCATAAAAACAACAATTCATCAAAATTCTGAAACAACAAAACATGAAACATAATTTGTTCAGCATTTACCTGTTGTTTGACAGAGTCAAAAACTCAAACCGCCGCTTTGTCTACTGATAAGGAAAATTGACAAGTTCAAATTAGTCTTTGAAATTAAACTTTGGATTTGGAAAAGGGTTTAATAATTCTCTGGAAGAGATGAAGAAGATAGGTTAGATCACAAAAATAACTAACATCTATATGTATATATATAAAGAAAATTTGGTTTACTTTTTCTTAGATTGAAATTGAAAGGAAAGAGAAAGGTTACGCGGGATTGGATTGAATTTCTTGCCACGTACGCTTTGGTTTTTCTTGAATCTTAGACGCTACTCTTGCTTGTTTGGGGTTTGGGGGTTATATATTCTTTTTGTTCATGGCATGGATGGATTCACCGTTTGGAAGTTAATGCACGCACCGATGAAAGCCTATTTTGGTAATTGTGTGTAGATAATGTACAATTGTCACTTGTGTGTTTAATGAATTGTGGTTTATGTATTTGATTAATTATATAAGGTGAGTTGTTGAAAAATATAACTTGTTATAATTTATTACTATTTATTGAGATCATAGACTTTCCAAAGAGAGAAAAAAAATTGCTTGCTGCTAAAGGTTGACTTTGCATTGTGTAAACTGGGATCACTTAAGGTTTATGCTTAGAAATTTTGGTTTTGGGTCAAAATGGTTGAAGTAGATGGAGGATGTGGTTTTTAGAAGTATTATGTCGGTATTAATTAATGAAAGTTTAATAGAGAAATGTTTTGTAGAGAGAGGTTTGAGATAAGAGGATCCACTATTTCTATACTTGTTTGCAATAGTGATGAAGGGCTAGTAGAAATAGTGAAGCAGGCATTCTAAACAGAGATCTTCAAGGGATTTCAAGCGAATGAAGATGTATCATACAATCTATTTCAATTTGCAGATGATATCATACTTGTAGGGGAGGATTCTTGGAAAAATTTACGGGTCATTAAAGCAATACTAAGAGGATTTGACATGATTTCAAGATTAATGGTCAATTTATGTAAGAGCAAAATGTATGGTACAAGGGTAAGACAACAATTTCTGCAAGCAGCTGAACATTTTCTCACTTGTAAAAGTGATAGTATACCCTTCAAATTCTTGGGAATAGTTGTAGGGATTGACCTTAGAAGGATTGAATCATGGAACCTTGTATTATTTGCTCTTAGAAGAAAGTTATCAATCTAAAAAAGAAGCCTCTTATCCATTGGAGGCAGAGTCGCTCTTCTTACCTCAATCTTATCAAATTTACCAATCTATCATTTGTCCTTATATAAAGCCGCGTTAAGGTAGTTCAAGAAATCATTAGCATCCAGAAAAAGTTTCTATGACATGGTTATGTACATAGAAAAGGTATATTATGGGTAAGTTGGCAAAAGGTATGCAAGCCTAAAGAAGAAGGTGAGCAAGTGGTTATGGAGATTATTACAAGAAAATGATGCTATTTTGAGGGGAATCATTTAGCATAGGTATGACACACCTAGGAGAATTTCTTGGTCTAGAGAAGGGCAGAACATAAGGGCTACATAATCATTGTGGTGGAAGGATTTATTGAAGGCAAGTGGTAATGATTCAATAGAGGGAATGTTAATATACATAGTTCATAAAATAGGTAGTGGTGAGAATACTCCTTTTTAGTCAAGTAAACGGGCATGCCAAAACACATTGGTCTCTATGTATCCTATCTTGTTCCAACTGAGTGAGCAAAAGGATGGTAGTGTTTGGGAGATAAGAGGAATGACAACAAAATTCTTGGTAATAGAAGTTGAATTGGACATCAACTGACATCAATGAACAAATTCAGGTTGATATTAATGAACTGATATTAATATTAGCAGATTTAGCTCCTAGAGATTTAATCTGGCCATATAATACTAATCTTTCCTTATCTGTTAGTTCCTGCTATGAGAAACTGAATCACGAATCGATAGGGAACCAGGAAAATGTGACTTTGAAACAAGTCTAAAGCTATTATGGAATACTAGTGTCCCCTTAAAGGTTGTTGGAGATCATTTCAAGATAGATTTCCAACAAGGCAATAACTCCATAAAAGAGGAATCACCCATAATACTCGTGATATATATTGTGTGTGTGTGTGTGTGTGTTTTCTGTGTTTTTTGGAAGATGAAGACTTATCTCACTTACTCTTTGAGTGTCCAGTAGTGTTGAAAGTCTGGCAGTAAGGTGCGACATGGATTGATACAAAAATCTAGGAAGAAAGTAGCACTAAAGAGCATTTTTTGAAGGTTATCGATATCTTACAAGGGAAGACTACAAAGAATAGTGAAGGAGTAATTTGGATGGTAGTTTGTTTATGTGTTTGAACAAAGAGGAATGACATCATTTTCAATGGAGTTGTTGGTACATTGGATGAAATTGTCTTTAACATTAGGATGGTTTCTTGCCTTTGGATTGTAATGGACTCTAATGGCAAACAAAAATGCAGTTTTTATGAATGGTGTAAATATGCATTAGATTTCTCAAAATTGCATGGATTGTTCCTTTTAGGTTTATAATGAGCTCTTTTTATCTTGTTGTATTTGGGTTAGAGTACCCCTATTACTCTCAATGAATACACAATTGCTTATAAAAAAACTATAAGTGGAATTTATAATAATTATTGGACACATAACAATATTAAATTCTTCTGAAAGAGAGTTTTGTCGTTCATTGTGAATAGAGGTGGAAAAACGGGTTCGATCCGTTGGACATGCCAGTTTTTCCCGCACTTTAGTGCGGGGTAGTCTAAGGGTTTATGCCTGTACCCTGTAACGTGTCTGTTTTGTCCCATTTTTTATGCGGACTTTTGTGGATGTGGACATTAACATAAATTTTTGTATTTTTAGGCTAAAAAAGTGCAAAGCACATGGGTACGCCATGCACTGCACTCACTTTTTTGCAGGGCTGAGTAAGGTTTTAGGCACTCCTCTCAACTATGTCTGTCCCACCCGACCTGTTTTTTGCGGGTTTTTAAGGGGATGACATGCCCGTTTCTCACCCTTAATTGTGATTAATAAAGTTGTCAAAACAGACTACCCGACTCCAAACGGGTCGGTCCTAACAAGCCTCATGTTTTTTAGGGCCATGCCAAAAAAAAACTATTGTAATATGGTCTCAAAAATTACTACTTGAGTCCGATCTTATATGAGTTTCAGACTACCCGACCCTAAACATGCTATTTTTTATGCTAAAAAAAATCCATAATATTTATAATAAATACAATAAAGATTATATTGTTTTATATACTATACTTTTTAGTACTATATTATTTTTTATAAATACTATAACATATTTTTAAGTACAAATATAAATTGTATAATATAATACTCAAATATTTAACATAAGATAAACTAATATAATATGAGAAAATTATGAAGTCAAATACAAAAGAATTAAATATTAATTTGATTATATTAATGTATAATATTTAAAAGAGACAGATTAAATAGAATATAGATAAAATTTAGTGAGGTGAGAAAAATCAATATGTTGTTTTGGAGTAAGACATTATAAATATTAATATAATTTTTAAAAAATTTATAGTTATTAGAATTTAACGAGTTATTCATGACCCATACAAGTTAGCCATAATGGGTAGCAGGATTTTTAGGATCAGGCTAAAAAATTCTAAAAAATAGGAAATTTCTTATCTCACCCTATGAGATGGAAAGACACCCCCATAGAAACCCAAAATGCCCTTTAGATTTCAGAGATGCATCTCCAGGCACACCTTTGCACCATCTTATGACGCACCAAATAAGTGTCACTCTAGAGTAAAACAAAACTTTATCACAGAGATGCATCTTCGGATACTTTCAATAAATATACTAATATTTGAGCAGCCCAATAGATATTATGGATATGCATCTTCAGAGGTTTGGGGCGAGATTTTGAAATATCTGTAACTTTTGCATGTCAAGTATTTTCAGAGATGCGTCTCTAAAATAAGTAAACATGATTTTGGTAAAATAGCCACCTGCATGATCACAGACTCATACTTCTTTTTCACTTCAAAACCTTTCTAGAAACTCTTCCATTCTCAATCAACATTTTCACTCAAAATATTCATGCTTGTGTTTCAACGCATCAAAAGGAGAAAAAGAAGTTGAAATTATAGATAAATATCATTCATTCCAAACCTTTTGTATCATATTAAGTTTGTTTTTAGGCTGAAAAACGTGCGTTGAATTCGGAGATGCATCTCTGGATTTTGTATGAATTCATGCGGAGATGCATCTCTGTAGCCTGTCTGTTCTCATTTTTTCAACTCTGTTTACAGTTTTTGAGTTTTTTAATTGTAACTATTTTCATTAGATATGGTGCACCATGTTGTTTTCCCCAAACATGTTGTGTCTCTTGATGCCAAAGGTGTTGTTGTGAAGGAGTAGATGTTGGCAACCAATTTAAAAACGAGCAAGAATTTGAATTTCGTGAACACGAGCTTCAATTGGTTTGTACGGAGGCCTCCAAATTAGAATTTGGTGTATTAGTCGGAAGGTTCGATAATTGTTCAGATAGAAGATGTGCACTTGACATGTGAAAAGGAGTGGGAAATATATACCTCCTCTCTAGAATTTTAAACGAGATGACACTAGTTCAAGAAAATGTGAATGTCTCTTTAAGTCGTGTGTTATATGTTGGCAAATCAGAAATAAAGATTTAATGTCATATGTGATTTACGTAACCATAACTTGTGTGAAAAGTTAGTTGGTCATTCAATTGTGTGTCGCCTCATGCTGAAAGATAATGAATGTGTTTCTGACGTGACATTGAATTTGGTTCAACCGAGAAACATACATACAAATTCGAAACATAAAAGATTCAAAAAAAAATATCAAATATCAAGCAAGTGTAGAATATTCGTACCAATTCAACAAGGCGCTAAGGGGGGATAGAAGTGAAATTCTACTACTATTGAAACTTTTGG